TGTGTTTCGAATAATATCATTTCGCACCTATCATCATTTAGGAACTTCCAACTAAGACCTTTATGTTAGGGATTGTATGCTACAGATAGAAATAGAAAAACATTAACAATATATAAATCAATATACAATTATTAGATAGTCATAGTACATCTTTTGTTTTCTGTTTTGTAGAAGATTAGAATGTGATCAGAGCACTTAGCACACCATTGTGGATCAAGAATAAATACTTGTAATATAGTTTTTGGTGTGAAGCACTTAATATTACATTTTTAAGTATACAAAGATGCTCTAAAGAAATTAAAATTCGTATTGAAAAAGTGAAATCTGTTCTACCATAAAGTACGGAACGAATATGTAACGATAAAATCATTAAACAATTTATTAGGTTTGTGTTTGTAAATGCATTGTTATGGCAATTATTTAGAAGAATATGTAAATTTTCTTCTTATTATTCTTATATTTTCTTATATTATTCTTATATAAAATATTAAATATTAATACCAGACTTAAAAAAAAGATTTTCAATGTATATTAAATAATATAAATAAATTATTTCATTTTACGATATCGCCTAGTCTCTTACAAAGTAAAATAAAGGCCTGCCAAGAAGACACAGATCCGCCGATTTAACAAAAGAATCGATAAAATCAACAAATTGAAATTTTCCATTCAAGTAGATTCACTATTCTCTGACTGTCCAACCGCAGCATAAAACTGTTAGTAAATTAAACTCTACTAAGGTCAGTGAGTGAACAGTGCACAATACCATTGTTCTGGATTCCAAGACACTAGCGAGCACAAGAAATTGAAATTGTGAATGCAAAAGCTAAACTATGAGAAACAAATACTGAACTCAAATACTGAACCATATACATTACTGCATTCTAAGGGAAGCAGTATAAAAATAAAACTACAATTTATTGAGAACGTAAACCTGGATAGGGCTGATACTGAATTGGCAAGATTTGCACTAGCTGGTAGGCCCCTATACCTAAAATTTTTTCTTTGAAGAGAAATGCAGAAACTGCAAGGGAGAAAAATAAAAAAGGGAACATGCTTATGGATAGAAAGATCGAAACATTTCATATTGGAAATCTAAGAAGTAATCAGGTTACTAGATTTTCCAAATAAAGATCTTCTAAAACTTGTCCCCTTATCAACAGTGTAGGAGGGGTTGTGGCACTTACAATTTTATATATATAGAAATATAGTAATAAAACGGCATCCATGCACTACTTGGAAAGAAGATAAGGCTGTGTCACCACTAGAACCAACCCACCACATCTAATTTAATATTTAGAATCATAAACCTTTGGAAAAACTGGTTGGAGATGACTAATTTAATGAAGGTAAAGATTACAGAGATCACGTACTAGATAAAGAAAACTATGAGTCAAGAGTAAAGTACTAGAAGAAGAATACAATAGAGATGATATTTTATTCTATTTATCCATTTTTTGTTCACTAAAAATTCTTAATTTAAATTCACTTACTCTTTTTACAAAAGTCTGAAAGATGTTAGACTAACATTTCTTTAGCAGCCAGCTGAATTGGTGTACCTACTTCAAATATGGAATCACTAACCTAGTACTTAGGATTGAGACAATGGTATATCAAACAAAATACTATCGTCTTTTTCAGGACGCTAGACAATAGAATGTCAAGGGGCCATGCTAGTACTACCGATATTCTCTCCAATTCACTTAATTACCTGATTTAAATTAGTATTACTATTGTTGCAGTTGAAGCTAATAACTGCATTTTGTAAAGAACTTTAAAATAAAAAATTTATGTATACATATTTAATCATATTTATTACCGATTAATAAATACCGTTAAAGAAATGTCAATTTCAGAAATAGCTCACACTGCAAAATACCTTAAGATTACCTAAAGAAGAACGGTTTTAAGCGGGATAACATTAACATTTAACGACTTATTGCCATTAACTTTAATTAGCATGCAACAGGCCATTATAGAAACAACTATATGGATAAATAATGTTCTCCAGTTAACATTGAACGTTTTATTGATATTAACAATAATTAATAACTGCTGCAGTGATTAAACTATTATATGTAGAGTTAGTATTAAATTAATGCAGTTTAGTATTAGTAGAGACGAGCTTTTAGTGTTAAAACAGTTATAAGTGGGACATAAATTATCTTGAAATTGTTAAATTTAACCTATGTAAGTAATTTCGTAATAAATGTAAAAATATGACTCAATAAAATGGATTTTTGAGACAATCCATGTTTGGCATGTTTCATCGAAATATTTATAACTTATATATCATATATATAGCCTATAGTTGCATTTATGGGCTATCCATTTAATTTGACTATTGTAACTTAGAGTTGCTGTAAAAATAATTCAATAAAACCGACTTAACTTATTCTATATGGTAAAAATTGAAAAAAAAATCTTTATTTAAAATGATGCAGTTCTTTTTGATTCTTTCAGGTGCTTACGTTCTATTGACCTCTATCCACAGGTAGCAAAGACTCCAAAAAAAATGTATTGTAATTTATATATAGTAAAGAACATTATTTTTGATTTATACCAAATTGCTTATTGGTATATATATTAAATCTGCATACATGTATATCTAATTTCCGTCGAAAATTGACGTAATAGGAAAAATAAATAAACTGCAATCTAAGCATATCCAAGACAAGCTTCATAAACCGCATATGAGTTCAGAAAATACTTTCATGTTATCCATTGCACTTGAGATTACCAATATTGCCACCAGTGCTGCTGCATTTGTCTTATTGCACTGTTGATTGCATTTTATTGCCTTTGTAATTATGTTCACGATTGCCAATACACAACTAAACCCCCTTCCAACTGCATCTTTCTTACAATGAATCTGCGAGTTTGTTCTGATCGCGTTTGCTTGCTCTTTCTGGAAGAATCAACGAAACAATTCCAACAACATAAAATCGAAAGCAATTATTTCTATTTTTATTTGCTTTTGTTAACAAATATTTCTTAAATTGTTTTTTTTTGTATTATTTGCTTTAAGCATTACTGTTAATAATGTAAAAACATAAACATTGTCACTGTAACAGCAGCAATCGGAGCTTTTATGTTAACATTCTGTACTATTGTATGCAAATGTTGTTGTGCCAATTGAAGAAACGCTATGCTGTGTTAAAAAGAATAATGTAAAACATTTTTTAACACTTTGTTAATAGTTCATTATTAAATATAGGCGGAAAAATAAATTTTAGATTAATAAAAGCTTATACACTTAACATAAAGATCTGTTAAAAATATATAAATGTTTTTTAAAGTGAAAATGTTTATATCGAAACTAATTGTCAAAAATATCTAACTTTT